GATTTTATAGCGAATCGAATTCGATAAATAGTAGTTAAGAGATAAATAAGATATTAAATTATTTATATAACTAGCGAATCGAAAGAAATAGTTAATAATCTTATATATAGTAAGTCTATTATAAGAGTAGTAAATATATAATTTCTTTATTAAATATATTAATAATATACTTATAGTAAGTCTATTATAATAACGATAAGAATAGTCTCGAAATAGTAAACGTTTAATCTCTTTACTAAGTATATCGATAATATACTTATAATAAGTCTACTATAATAGCGACGGAAATAGCCTCGAAACGATTCGATCTCTTTATTAAGTATATCGATAATATATATAGTAAAGCCTACTATTAAATAATATTTAATATATTTAATTCTTTTCTATCTCTCTATTAAATCTATAAATTAATAAAGATAAAGAATAAATTTAATAATAAATTCTTAATAATAAGAGTATAAGAGATATAGAATAAATCTATAGTAAAGCTCTTAGGCTAGACTATTAATAGATATTAAAGAATAATATATATATATATTAAATTTTCTTTAATTCTATCGATAAACTTAATAATAAGAGTATAAGAGACGTAGAGTAAATCTATAGTAAAGCTTTTAGATTAGATTATTAATAGATATTAAAGATAAAAAAAAAAGTAGAGAACTATAATAAGTAGATTAAGTAAGAAGAAGAATTTAAAGAATTTTATTAATATATAGATAAGATATAGTTTATATCTTTAGAATCTTTATAATAGAAATAAATAGCGTTAAAACTAGTATACAATTCGATAAAACCTCGAATATAATATTTTTAAATGAATTAAAACTATTCGATATTCTTTAGAAAATCGCTAAGACTTAAACTTCGATTACTATCGCTATATCTCGATAAATCTTCTTTAATTAAGATCTATAGAAACTATAAATATTTAAAGATATAGAATAAGTAATAGGCGTATATCTTTAATCTATTAGCTATAGAGGCTATAGCTATTTAAGAGAGAGAAATAGTATTATAAGCGTATTCTTAATATATTACTTAGCCCTATAGCTATGAGCCTTAGCGAAAGATATTCTCTACTATATTATATCTTCTTCTCATATATATAGTTCGATAGCCTTATTATTCTATTCTATCTCATCTATACTAGTATCGTATCTATACTAGTTCTAATAAATCTATTAAAATAATTCTAAAAGTATATACTTTATAAGAGTAATAAATACTCTAAGTTTATAAGTTTAATATTAATCGTTATAGCTTATAATCTTAAAAGCCCGACTTAATATAATAGCCTCGCTCTAATAAAATATAACTTTCTTAAGCTTATAAAATTCTATTATAATATTTATAATAAGAGTTATTTAAATTAAAATAACGTATAACTTAATATTAAAGTCGAAGATATTTTCGCTATTAATAATATTATATTATTATAAAAGATATACTATCTTAAATAATAGATATAAGAGTTCTATAATTCTTAATAGATTATATATTATCTTATAATCTTACGCTATTCTTTTATATTAACGCGTAATATAAGTTTAATCTTTATTAAATTAAATTTAAGTAATCTATTATAAAGCGAAGATAATCTTATTTATAATAAGATTTATAATAGTAATAAAGATCTATTTATTATATTATTTAAAAATTATTTTATATTTAATAATAATAACTTTAAAGACTTAGAATTCTCTTAATCTTATATTAATAAATACTTCGAAGTAAATTTACTAGTCGAAAAGATATAATATAATATAGAATATTAATCTATTATATTATACTCTAACGAGTAAAGGCCTATGAATTAAATTCATAACCGTTTTTTTTAATCAGGGCTGTCGAGTAAATTTGGTGAGCGATCTTTGGTGAGCGATATTTGAATTCCTTGCCTTTAAATATCTATAAGACTAAATTTAGTAATTCTTTTTTTATCTGAAAGCCCACATTACGTTCTATAATTTAAAAGAAAAATCTCAAAATTTTAATAGAAAACAAAAAAGTTATTTTAAAATCAAATAATGTACACCTGTTTTTTGATCAGGGCTGTCGAGCGGACTTTGGTGAGCGAACTTTGGTGAGCGATATTTGAATTCCTTGCGCTTTAATAATTATAAGACTAAATTTAGAAATTCTTAAAAATTCGGAAAGCCCATATTCCGGTCTACGATTTAAAAAAAAAATCTCAAAAACTTAATAGAAAACAAAAAAGTTATTCTATGTGTTAATAACGTACACCTATTTTTTTAATAGTTGCGGACGCTAATTTGTTTACCCGCGGTGTCTAACCAAAAAGCGTAGACCTAACGAATTAATAATTAACTACACATACAAATTCAAGGTTTTCTAATTCAGCCCTATCTTATTCTTTTATATATACTAATATAATATAAGTTATTAAAATTTATATTATTTTATATCTAATATAATATAAAATCTTAGCGAGATATTCTATAATATAATATATCTATAATATTATATTATAGAATAATATATATATAAGATATTTCGATTAGAATTTCTATATTTAGAAGTAACTATTCTAATTATTATTCTAATTAATAACTACGCTAAATTAATAAGATATAAAATTAAATATAATTATATTTTATTACTTTATATATATAAAAGAAAGCGAGCTATATCTACTAATAATAAGAAAAGCTTATCTTTCTCTAATATTAGTTATACGAAATTCGTTAATACTTTATAATTAAAGTCGTTAACGATAATTTTATATATTTATTATATATTTTCGATATCGCTATCTAATATAAAATTATACGTATTATAATTATAGCCTTTTTATTAAATCGTTAATTTAGAAAAATTAATATATTTCTTAATATTCTCTTAAAAGTATTATAGCTTAATATAATAAGCTATATTTCTTTAAGCTATCTTCTCGCGATATATAAAAAAAAGATTAAATATAGAAAGTATATAAAAGTATATTTAATAATTCTAGAATAAATTAGTATTATCTATAATAATAATTAAAATTAAGAATTAGATATATTTAAATAAAAGATAGCTTTATATTACTCGTATAATAGCGATAATAATAACTAAGATTAAAATATTAACTTAGATAGCGTAGTTTTCGTAGTAAACTTTTTATTATTATATGCTAAATTAATTATATATAAATAAAGATTTATAATTTTATCTTCTAGATATAATCGTATTTAATATTTTAAGATTTTTATAATAACTCGATATTTATTAGTTAGCGCGTTAATATTATTATATCTAAGCTATAATAGCGCTTATTGTTAAATTCTATATTACGCTCTTAAATAGTTTAAAAAATAAAATCTACTTAATTATTAGCGTATATAGTAGAATTATTTTTAATACTTATATCTTATTTAATTTTAATATTATTTATTTTCTTTTAATTCGAGCTTTTATCTTTATTTATATATATAATAATTCGCGCGATAAGTAAAACTTTAAACTTCTTCGTAATTATACTTATATACTTTTTTTATATAATACTATTAAAATATAAGTTTACTAGAATAATAATTAGAATTAAAAGCTACTTATCGCTTATCTATTATATCTTATTTAATTTACTTAAGAGCTTACTTCTATTATAATAACGATATATTAATATATTTAACTTTACGCTTTTTAATAATTATAGCGTAGTTAATAGCTAAGATATCGACTTTCTTTACTTTCTTAATTAGTTTCTTCTTAAATATAAATATATTTATTCGCTATCGCGATCTCTTAATATTTTTATTTTAATTAAACTTATTCTTCGCTTTTTATTTTAATTAAGAACTTAATTATTATCTAATTAATCTATATTAAGACTCTTTAATATCGCTATTATTATTAATATTTAATATTTATTATAATAAATTATTAAACTTAATCTCTTCTACTTTAATTACTATAAAAAGATAAATTAGTAAATATATATAAAAGAATTAAAGAGCTTATATAAATATCTATAAATATTAAGCTATTCTTAATTTTAATTAAAGCTTATTTTATTAAAAAGTACGTTAATTCTAGTAAATATCGATATTAGAAATAAAGAGAATATATATTACGCGCTATTTTAAATATATTATTATAAAGTTTAATTTAAAAAATAATTATTTCTATAAAAGTAGTAAGACTTAAAGATAAAAAAGTAAGAATAAAATATACGAAAATTTTAATAAGTATATAGTAATTTAGCGCTAGCTAAATTAGATAAAAATAATTACTTACTAGCTCGCTCTTTTAAATCTTTTATCTTTTAATCTATATAGATTATAATAATAATTATAATTATTATAGAAGTAGTTAAGATTATATTAGATAATAGCGTTTAATAAGCGTAATTCGTTTAAGCTTAAATCTTTAAAATTAAAGAGAAAGTATTTTATTAATATCTAATTTAAGCTAGATAATTTAAAGTAATTTAAAAATTTAATATACGCGATAGATATCTAAGCTTTTCTTTCCCTCTCCTTTCTCTCTAAGACTTTCTTTTTTATATTAATTTTTCTTATTATTAAACTATCTTCTTTATATATTAAACTTCTATTTAAATAATCTAATTAGTATATATAAAAGAATAAGGTAGGGCTAAGCTTGAAAACCTTGAATTTTTATATGCAGCCAATTATCAATTCGGGGTTATTACGCCTTTTGGCTAGACTGACTAAGTCAGCCCGCTAGCCCTCCCAAGCTCCCTCATCAAAAATTTGTGTATAGAAGTTTTACACTCTGAAATAACCAGCTCCCTACGGATACTGTTTCTTTATAATTTCGTAAATTGTAGAACTCGGTGTGCGCTTTTTAACGCTGTAAAAATAATGAAGTTTGGTCTACTATTGGTGGATTAAATGGATATTTAAATATAATAGTTATAGTAGTTACACCAGACGCGTCCGGGATCGGATAATAATCCTTCCATCTGTTTGTTATTCTTCCACCATTCTACCAATTCTATCAATTCTACCAATTCTACCAATTCCACCAATATGAACACAATCGTCTTCGGTACCCCTCGCCCAATTAGAGCCCCTTACTGACGCCCCCAGGCCACCCCTCGGCGAATCCGCTACTGCTGGCAATCGAGGCCGCAAGCGAGCCCAACAGCTACCTACTACTGCTCATAAACGCGTTGAAAGACCCTCAAAAAGAGCGTTGAAAGGCCCTCAAAAGGTGCCCGAACGGATACGTCCTCCCCCTACATACTCCTCCCAAGCCAGCGATAGGTGGGTTAAACTAACATTCAAATATTGTAGTCACACCAAACGCGTCCGGGATCGAATAATAATCCTTCCACCTATTTGGTTAACCATTCTTCTTCCACCATTCTACCAATTCTACCAATTCTACCAATTCTACCAATTAGGAGGAGTAAGAGGAGGAACTACAACAGGCAAATGCGGAGAATACTGCGGAGAAACCAAGCGGCAACAAGGCTACCATCGTCAAGAACACGGCTCAGCTCTCCAAGATCCCACGTCATATGCTCTCCACGGTTCCGCATCAAATCATCACTCAGCAAGCGAAGAACACCACTGCAACTTGGCCGTTCCACATCAAATCATTACTCAGCAAGCGGAGAACACCACTGTAACTTGGCCTGTCATCCCCACTGCATTGAGGAGTAAGAGGAGGAACTACAACAGGCAAATGCGGAGAACACTGCGGAGAAACCAAGCGGCAACAAGGCCACCATCGTCAAGAACACGGCTCAGCTCTCCAAGATCCCACGTCATATCAGTTATCCACTCAGTCAGCCACTCAGCTAGCCACTCAGCTAGCCACTCAGCTAGCCACTCAGCTAGCCACCAGCTAGCCACTCAGTCTGATACTCTACAAGAGGAGGAGCAAGAGGAGGAACTACAACAGGCAAATGCGGAGAACACTGCGGAGAAATCAAGCGGCAACAAGGCCCCCAGCACCAAGAACACGGCTCAGCTCTCCAAGATCCCACGTCATATGCTCTCCACGGTTCCATATCAAATCATCACTCAACAAGCGGAGAACACCACTGCAACTTAGCCTATTATCCCCACTATATTAAGAAGTAAGAGGAGGAACTACAACAGGCAAATGCGGAGAACACTGCGGAGAACACTATGGAGAACACTGCGGAGAACACTATAAAGAACACTGCGGAGAAACCAAGCGGCAATAAGGCCCTTAGCACCAAGAACACGGCTCAGCTCTCCAAAATCCCACATCATATGCTCTCCACGGTTCTACATCAAATCATCACTCAGCAAGCGGAGAATACCACTGCAACTTGGCCTATCATCCCCACTGCATTGAGAAGCAAGAGGAGGAACTACAACAGGCAAATGCGGAGAACACTGCGGAGAAACTAAGCGGTAACAAGGCCACCATCGTCAAGAACACGGCTCAGCTCTCCAAGATCCCACGTCATATGCTCTCCACGGTTCCACATCAAATTATCACTCAGCAAGCGGAGAACACCACTGCAACTTGGTCGTTCCACATCAAATCATCACTCAGCAAGCGGAGAACACCACTGCAACTTGGCCTGTCATCCCCACTACATTGAGGAGCAAGAGGAGGATCTACAACAGGCGAATGCGGAGAACACTGCGGAGAACATTGCGGAGATAGTCATCAGCAGCAGTGACACAACAGGCCTACTCTCCACGGTCTCACACCAACCCGATACTCAGTAAGAGGAGGAACCACTGCAGCAGGTAAATGCGGAGAATATTGCGGAGATAGTAATCAGCAGCAGTGACATAATAGGCCTACTCTCCACGATCTCACACCAATCCACTCAGCCAATGCAAGAGAAGTCACTACAGCAGGCGAATACGGAGAACACTGCGGAGAAACCAAGCGACAACAAGGCCCCCAGCACCAAGAACAGGCTCAGCTCTCCAAGATCCCACGTCATATACTCTCCACGATTCCACATCAAATCATCACTCAGTAAGCGGAGAACACCACTATAACTTGGCCTATCATCCCCACTGCATTAAGGAGTAAGAGGAGGAACTACAACAGGCAAATGCGGAGAACACTGCGGAGAAACCAAGCGATAACAAGGCCCTCAGCACCAAGAACAGGCTCAGCTCTCCAAGATCCCACGTCATATGCTCTCCACGATTCCACATCAAATCATCACTCAGCAAGCGGAGAACACCACTGCAACTTGGCCTATCATCCCCACTACATTGAGGAGCAAGAGGAGGAACTACAACAGGCAAATGCGGAGAACACTGCGGAGAAACCAAGCGGCAACAAGGCCACCATCGTCAAGAACACGGCTCAGCTCTCCAAGATCCCACCTTATATGCTCTCCACGGTTCCACATCAAATCATCACTCCGGAACGATGCATATTTGGACGAATTGAAACCGTCCGATATCTTGCTCTAACAGCTATTTCATTATTCGAAAGATTTCACTACGGCAGGAGATAATATGGGATTCACACCACTAATTGGTATGTTATCTCCATTTCTTTCCGATATTTCGATACTTCTTGCCATAAGGACATGGCCTTTCTCTGTTTTTAGGGGCAATTATTACGGATCAATCCTTCACACTCGATACACCTTCCTAATTAGGCCTTAGCGCGCCTCTCTCCGTACATATATGCCTGTATATAGGTTAAAAACGCACAGCAAGCGATCAGAGTTCGATTTGACTTAGAAAAATCCAACTCCATAAATTTAATTCATGGGCCTTTACTTGTATTATTATAATAATATTAAAAGTATAATATAGTCGTTAAGTTATATATTTATTTTTTATCTTTTAATAACTTTAAGTTAATATATAGATAGATCGCGTAAAGAGCTTAACTTATATATACTTAATCTACTATTAATAACTCTTTAAAAAAGCTAATACTATTTTAGAGTATTAGATATAGCGTTAAAATAAAGAATTTATTAGATATTATTATCGCTTTAATTACTACTATCGCCGCTTTAATAGATATTATCTTTATTTTAATAGATATTATCTTTACTTTAATAGTATTAAAGCGTTAATAGAAACTAGATAATATATTCTTCTAGTTATTATTATATTTATTATATATAACTAACGTAAGCTATAACTTAAGCTTTACGCGAGATTTATTACTATTAAAAATTAATTAATCTTATAATTCTAAAGCTTCTCTTCTAGTATCTAGTTCGTTAGATTATACTTAATTAAAATTTATTAAAGCGCTATCGTATTTAAAGGTTCGCTCTTAAAGTATTATATAAGATAATAAAAGTTTTTCTAATTCGTTAGTTTAAGAGTAAGTCTTCTATTATTATACTTTATAATTAGCTTTAATAATTTCTATTTAAATAGATATTTATCTTTATATAATATATAAAAAGCGAGTTATATTATAGAAAAAGAATTTAAATCTTATAATTATCTTAGCTAAGCTATTTAGAGTAAAGAGAAAAATATATTTATCTTTAATTATTAAATTAATTAATTATTATAGATATAATTATAAGATATAATTATATATTATTAATTATCTTAATAATTATAAAAAGTATAAAAGAAATAAAATTATATAATTAAGTACTTATAAACTTTTCTCTTCTAAGTATTTATTTTAATTTAAAGTTTAATCGCTATCTAATTAAAAAAGAATAAAATATAGAAAGTATATAAAAGTATATTTAATAATTTTAGAATAAATTAACGATATCTATAATAATAATTAGTATTAAAAATTAGATATATTTAAATAAGAGATAGCTTTATATTACTTATATAATAATAAAAGTAATAATTAAGATTAAAATATTAATCTAGATAACGTAGCTTTCGTAATAGACTTTTTATTATTATATATTAAATTAATTATATATTAATAAAGATTTATAATTTTATCTTCTAAACGTAATTATATTTAATATTTTAAGATTTCTATAATAGCTCGATATTAAATTACTAATTAATTAATATATTAATATTATTATATCTAAACTATAATAAAGCTTATTATTAAATTTTATATCGCGCTTTTAAATAGCTTAAAAGATAAAGTTTATTTAATTATTAGCGCGTATAATAAAATTATTCTTAATACTTATATCTTATTTAGCTTTAATATTATCTATATTCTTATAATCTAAATTTTTATCTTTATTTATATATATAATAATTTATATAAAAAGTAAAACTCTAGACTTTCTTTAAATTACGCTCGCGTATTTTTTTTATATAATATTATTAAAATATAAGTCTACTTATTAGAATAATAACTAGACTTAAAAACTATTTATCGCTTATCTATTATATTTTATCTAATCTACTTAAGAGCTTACTTCTATTTTTCTATTAAATCTATTAATTAAATTAAAGTTTATATTTTATTTTTATATAAATATCTAATCGCGTATCGAATAATATTTTATTATTTAAGACTTTTAAATATAATCTAGCTAAGAAAAGAATCTATTATATAAAGAATTATAAATTATAATATATATTTTTATAATAATAGAGAATTTTAATTATCTTTATAATTATTATTATTTAAAAATAATTATAATAGCGAAAAATACTTATATTCTTATTTTTAATTTAGAATTAGAATTATATAACTAATTTATTAAGATTTTAAATTTAGATAATTTATATTCTTATAAAGATACTTAAATCGCTTAAATATATTAACGATATTTTTATATATTAATTTAATATTAATAAGCTTAAAAGCCTTTTATATTTCTTCGCTCGCCTTATTAAATATAAATCTATATTTTATTATATTATAATTTTTAAACTATTATCTAGTCGATTCTAGTAATAATATTTATTCTTTTTTATTCTTAAGCGCTTATATTATATAGTTTCTAAGAACTATATATTTTATTCTAATAAAAAATATATATAAGAGAGAAAGATAATAAACTTTTTTAGATTTTATAATTAAAGATAATTAATAAGTAAGTTTAATATAAGTAAGATTAGTATATAAATAACGAGTCTATTTAAATATAAATTAGAATATTAAAATTAAAATTAATATAAAGAAAAACCTTATATTAATAAATATTATTTTAATAATTCTTTTTTAAGAAAATTTTTATAAGTTATATAAGACTCTTACGTAATAAAAATAGATATTCTTTTAAGAGTTTATTATATCTTCGAAAATTTCTAGATATTTAATCTTCTTTCTAATAGATTTAATTATAGTTTACTATACTCGTTATTATAATAAGAAAATATTAATAAATATTTAATTTTTTTATACTTATATCTTATCTATTAACATTATTTAAGAATTTATATTCTCTAAAAAAAGTTAAGAATTTTCGAATTACTTAATTTTTTAATTAATAATATTTAACTATATATCGATAATTATATCTTTATCTTCTTTCTTTATATCGAGCTACTTATCGCGCTTTATATTAATATTCTTAATAAAATCTAGAATTAAAACTATATCTAGCGAATTTAATCGTTTATAAAATTTATTATCTTCGATATAATATATAAAATATTATATATAAATATTAATTATAATATTAGAAAGATATTAGAATAATTATAATAATAATTAGAATTTATAATAAGTATATCGATTATATATAATATATTTAATAATTCTCTCTTTTATTTTCTTCTTTTTTTTAAAAGTAATATTTTAATATTTTAAAAAAGCTAGAAGTCTTTTCTTAGCTATTTATTTCGCTATTATATTTATATTATTTTATTTTCTTAAGATTACTCTTAATAATTTATATATATTTAAACTTATTAAATACTAGCGCGACTTTACTATATTCTTATTTCTAGAATATTTATTTACTATTTTTTATATCTTACTATTATTTAAGCTTTTAGAATATTCTTATTTCTTTAAAGATAATATAATAAGACGAATTAAAGCTATTATCTTTATTAATAATATTAACTTTTATAATATTAAGAGATAATAAAAAGTATATAAATTTACTTATTTAATTAAATTCTTATTTAAGATAGTTATAACGATAATTTTTATATAAAAAGCTTATTATAAGATATTAAAGAATATATTAT